AAGGGTTCATAGTGGATTTATTTAACTTGATGAAAGCGAATGGCGAAACATATTGAATTGTACAAGGGAAAGTGTAATACAATGAAGTTTTGCGTCCTACTTTTCTGTACCTAAAGGACGAATGAAGACAGCTAACACCATGCAGTGAACAGTGACATGGTCATACTCTTTTCCAATTCAAACGTGCACAACCTGTAGCTCAGGGGGGTTTCGGTTCATTATCCAAGCCGAACGACTAGTCGCCCTTTCCATGTCAGCTCCTTTGACACTGACAAGGGTAACGGGGTTGAAAACGTAAAAAGGATATGTCCTAGCCGAAGTGTTGAAAGAGAAGCCGGATTGCCAATATACTGATTTTCTTTTCTGTATCAAGCAATGATGGAGGAAAGAAACTTTGACCTTCATCACTACTGTATGTTAATGGTGAAAATTGACATTGTTCTAAAATTACATCATAATCACCTACAGTAAAGTTCTTTTTTCTTTATCAAATTTAGAAACATTATAAAACGTCTTACAGATCTGTAATAGTAATGTATTGCGTGGGAGTTTGTAATTCCAATTGAAATGTTACAAGGTATATTTTGGTGATTTTGATCGACACAGATGGCCAATAAATCGCATTTTTTGATCTGATTTAATGAATAAATAGCTTTTAATAAACAAAAAGAATTTTGATTTCCTCTGGGGAGAATATAAGTGATTTAAATGTGTGGTTTTGTGGTAATTGTGCTAGGAAAACAGTTGTCATGTTATAGAAACACATCTTGTCGGTCGATTAGGGAATTTGTTGTTTTAAAATTAGAAATTTGAAATCAATTTGCTGATAATAAATCAAACTGAATGATCCGACGAAAACAGAATTAAACATTTCTAACAATAATTAAAAAAGACTTTAAGTATAAAGGCTGAATAGATATTAGAGTTGGAGAGAGATGTGTTGATGTCGTGAAGAGACCACGATTATCTATTACCTGATCACTACTATATCAAATTTATAACTAATACGTAGGTATAAAGATCAAATAATATGATAGATAATATACATTAGGAATTGTCTATGGTAATCAAGGTTTTCTAATTATTGCCCTTGAATTAATGACAGTCGCTAAAAATTCACAGTGGGCACGTAAATGCTTATTAGTCGGCCACGCATAACTATAATAATATACACGCTGATCATTATCGTGTATATTACAGATTATTTTAGGAAAAACGACATTATTTTGAAATATACATCCTATGTTTATGAGCTGGGCAGTTAAAAGAACAAGTTTCAATATCAACCTGGATTCGATCGCCCTTCTTCCGACCATGCATCATACTCGTGGTAATTAACTTTTTCGTCATACAATAACTTGAAACTGAAGCATATATTGTTCGAAAGTACGAAAGTTTTTTACTTATCTTACCGACTTTACAACCTTCCAAAGGGTATCCTTTTTTGAATTTCAAATCAAAGGCTCTTTTCATTAACAAATTTCATACCTATATGTTCGGAATTCAGGAATATTCTTTGTAAAACATTGAATTGTCAGACCACCTTTATAAATACTTTTAGTATAAGGCTAAAATTACACAGAACACGATATAAAGACTAATCCTTTCAGATGATGGATTGACAGAATAACACAAAACACCAAGATTTGCTTTTTAATATGGTTGATTTTAAAACGATAAAAAACTGGACATTGTATATGTTCACGATTTGCAAAAATCTGAAGTTCAAGGTGTTTATTTTTTCATCATCAATTATATAATCTCGCTCAAATATTTCATCTATTAATGGAATGTGATATTTCTAATCATATAAAATTTAAATTTTATTGAATTAAGCATGGAATTTACAAACTGATAATAAAAACAGGGTGAAATTATCTCTTAGTGCGTTACATTTGTGATTATGTTATTAGCTTCCTGTTACATACTGTTAAAAGGTTCCCTCGGCAAATTAAGACCAAAAGATGTGGTCAAGGGTACACAACTTTTGCAGTGGAGTTTCAAATCGGTTTTGTACAGTTTAAGTCGTCGACGCGGATCTTGAGTAAAATCTCACGTACATGCCCGCCTTTCCACGACCAGATTATAGCGCTGCCGACTGGATTTTGAACATCAGACCAGTTTGATATTTGTTGCCTACGAAAAGAGAAGGCTCCACAGAGCGTCATTATCCCATCAGATCTCATGATTATCGACTATGCTCGCAGCCGGTCTGTGAAACTCTTGACAGGACTCTAGTTTAGACAAAAATCATCGATCAAACCCGTTCGTGTGCTCGCAGCAAAACTCTATTCTGTTTTGATTTTGGTTGACTTGATATTCATGATAAAAGATTCTTTAAGTTGTTCACCTCGGAAAAAAAAAACAGAGTTGGTCACATTATGTTTAACTGGTTTAAGTTTTGTTTGTAATGGTAACAGGTATAATGGAAATATTAATGATTTTAAGATGAGGTAAAGCCCTGAAGTGTCATATCGAAGTTATATATAAATATGGTATGTTTTTGAACGGATATTAAAGATCTTTGACACCTTCCTACCCGTGAGACCAATACAGACTGTTAATAACGGTATACTCGTATCTACAAAAGGGATATAATGCTTGCTGTTACTGAAGAAAGCGCAAATGAAAGAGTTTCAACGAAACTTATGTATTGATCACTAAAATAAACTGTCTGATTGGAAAAGGATTTTGTTATCTTTGCAAACCAATTCGTTGGTGGTGTAAATTATAAGTTGGCCGATATACTTCATAGCTTGAAATTATTAATGAATGTAACCTTCAGAACGGAGCAGAATATCAAATCTCTATATTATATTATGTAAATATTGGTATTTAATAATAGATATATCGAACATATTGTGCTCATTATTCCAGCATCAATCTTAACCACGTCAAACGTGAGTTAAACAGACTGAAATCATTAGCAGAGTTGGTCTGTCAGAATGACCAATGACATCAGATAGCGTATCATATAACAAATATAACATAGTCTTTAGTATGATTGTTTCCTGAGGCCAGCAATGGCTACCAGAATACAGCTGGTAGTATAACTCACGTTTCCGACTTAACCAGTCAAAACAATTGTCGATGAAGGCTGAGATCGGGCTTCCTCGAGAAAGTCAGGGTCAAGCAAATGAATATACCAAAGAGTAAATCAACTAATTTCAGAATCAGTCAACACAATACAATTGTCAATGGTATCAAAGATATTGGTATCAGTGCCCACTTAATTTAGTCAGGGCCAGTAGAACAAATGCCTGTAATTGCGATATCGGGCCTTCCTTTAACTGTCAAAATAGTTGCCTGTGAAATAGGTGGACTAGAATAATAGTTTGCACCCACACATTTTTATGCTTGTTATTAACGCAATTTGCCTCATTCAGCAATTCTCGGCAGTTTCCGTAAGCTGAATCTGACTCAGTTATAAATGGTGGATTTCGTTGTGTTTTCTTGGGCGAGACTCTTTACATCCGGTCTTTAGCAGTGATTTGTCTAGTGATAGTTATATTGCGACCTAAATATAGTCCTTAAATTTAGAGACTTTGGGAGATAATTCTGCTACTTACATTCATTTAACGTTATATTTTGACTATTGGTTATCTAATGACACATTTTATTATCAGTTTGAATACATACCGTGCGGATGTGTTTATTTTCATTGTCTCCGTTTACAAACACTTGAAGTCATGATATTTATGTCATCAGAATGACATGATAACGTGACAATATTGACATAGTTCCGGTGAAAAAATGGCGATTCATTACCGTGATATGTTGCAGAGCGCTAGCGTAACATACGCGGAGGCCGCTTGAATCTGCCTTTTAAACACCAGCATGTATTAAAGGGAAGTAACCAATATTATAGGCAGTTTTAACAACTACAATTCTCGGTGGAATAGCTGATCGAAACGCAAAGTTTACTTCCTTTGCAAGAATAATCAGCACGCAGTTCCAATTTACATTTCACTACAACCTCGGAATGTAGTTACTACGCAGTTTGAAGCAAAGTGCTGGAAATGATACCAGTAACCAATAGCTATAGATAAACTCAAACCATTTTGAGCTAAAATAATTCAATAACATAGACTTACAAAGTTTAGATAGAGAAGAGCAATGACAATGCGACAAACACAAACGCTTTGGATAACAAAGGCTACGGGAGAAAAATGACACTTTTTTAACAAAGAATTTTATCCTGAGTAAAAAAAATGAACAATGAATAGTTTATTTGGCATAATTAACTAATTAACACAGAAAACAAAATATACAAAACAATAAATACATTTCAGGCGTTAATTTGAAACTTGTTGATTTTTCGCGACCAGCGTAAAGACTGAAAAAATAATAATCAGGGAATAGGTAGAAGCAACATTCGAACAGTATATAATGACAGTAAATGCAGTAAATAAAGGTGCAGGCACACAAACGGTCTTGGTGGGAGATTTTTATTGCTGACTAAAGTCTTGTCAACAGTTTAACCGACTGGCACGGGCTCACGAAGAGAGCCACCATGTTGATATTCACGTGTGGAGCATGAAATGGTCAAATGGAAAGGAAAATGAATCTGATTGGAAGATGACGGTCTGTCTTGCATACGATAAAACTATGGGAGACAATTATAAAACTTGTTTATTATAAATCCTGTTGGAGACGCGATAATCGTGTACGAAATACGAATCTATAGGTAATATGTACCAGGGTCGACTGAAAAATGTGTCCCCCCGTAATTATTCAAAGCGGAGTACAATTAAAGGTATTTTATCCGGAACACCATCGAGTAGATTAACACAAATCAATGTGTCTCCTTCGCTGTCCTGGAAGAATTGCACACTTCATAGTCTTGCCCCTCTTCATTACCCAAATCAGAAGCAGATAAAAACGTAAAACTCTGTTTCATTTTCAAAATAGATTCAACTACTCGTTTGTGTGTATTACTGATTGTGCATATCAAATAAACCACGTCTTTTCATGATCTATGACGATGTTGCGATTTCTTTTCAAGAAAGCTTTTTGGCAAAGTAAACAAATGCTCCATATAAAGCAACATTAGGATCAGACCTATCTAACCTCGGAATAGTGTCCCTCCTTCGTAAGTTCCTCTGCCACTGTCTCTCAGGGGTGACTATTTGATCGGGAGTACCGATATCATCCGGTTCGATATTCAATTCATCGCTTATTTGACTGTGTCGATTTCTGTTACTTGCACCCAAATGACGATTCGTTCCACATGTACCTAACGTATTCAATTCACTCACGCACATCTTGGGTTTTGATCTAAATTTACGCTTTCTTTCAATGGTTTGGGAAGATGAAAGGACAGGTTCTTGACTTGGAGAATATGCGACTTCAGCACCGGATGATGGCGCGAAGGATGACGAGCTATCGTTGCTAACACTGTATCCCGGAGAACTGACTTCACTAAGATCACTACATCCTATGGATTCAGATTCGCTTGTTCCTATGCTAAGCTGTCGGCGTTTGAAATTCGACATACACGATTTAGGTTTTTTAAATTTGAAAGATACTTTTGGACTAATACTTTGTCCTACTCCAGAATCGACAAATCTCTGACTGATAGACTTGTGTCTCCTTTGTGGTCTGGGTGAATCAAGAGGTGGCCGACTTGGGGGAGAAACAAAGCTTCGCTGTTTGCTTCTACGTCTCTGAGAGTTCGTCGGTATCGAGCCTGGATCTGGAGTTGATGTCAGTACAAACGGAGATTGAGTTGGAGAATAAGGCACAGAGTCCAGTCTTTGGTTTGATTTTCCGTGCTCTGGTTTTAATACTGGACAGAGGTCAAATCCTTGATCTAACAAGTTCCTAATCTCAGCTTTTACCCCTGATGCATATGGTATTGCATCAATTTCTGATAGATTATCTTCAGATATGGAGGGGTTTCTGCAAATCTCGAAATAATCTATGGGCGATGAGGGAGTATTAGCAAAGTTCGGTGTCATGGATATCACTGGCGTATGGCTCGGAGAGTACAAGGTCATTTGGTCGTGTTCTTCTTCCTCGATAGTTGCGACATCCTCTAGAACTTCAGCATCTTCAAAAGACGGTTTTTCGGTATTTGAAATTCCTATTCGGTTTCTACCAACCGGAGCTTGGGACCCAAAGTAATTATTTGCTCGAGCAATTTGACTCCACTCCTTTTCGAGAACTTGTCTTTCGGCGTCTCGATCAAGCAAGTTCCATGAATATTCCTGAAGATTGGGAGACATATTAGGATCATTTGGTGAAACACTGTGTTTTTCAACAATATATTCCTCTTCGGGGGCAATGCCAGTATCTGTGTCTTTGTTTAAATCTTGATCATTTCTTTGTGTCATGTGCGTCACAGAGATTTCTGAATTTTGTGACGACGGCTGACAATGATGTTTTTCATCCGAATTTGAATGATCAGCAGATGAATCTTTCCTTAACTTCCAACGCTTTAGAATACGCTTGACAGCAGCTCTGTTTTGTACATTTCGTTTACCGGGTTTCTGTTTCTGGCAAGAGTGATTTCTGTGGTTAGTCGCTAGACCTGCAACGAATTCTTTACATTGGCTAGAATCTTTAACTGCGCTACTTTGATCAGTGGAAGCTGTGGCCTTTTCGTAATCATTTGAAGTCGTTGAAAGTCCAAGAAGCGCCTTTTTTGGCTGTTTTAACACCTTACTGGGCATTCTACGGGGTAACTGTACTCTTTTTGCTCTAATGTTCTTCCTGATGTATGATGCGGTGCTTTCCGACAAGTCACTCTCTGTACTGCTATAAACTCGTTGTGGTTTTGGTTTAGTCTCTGGCAATATCTTGATAACCTTTTCACTAAGTTCACGTTTACTTATATACTTATCGAACCCTTCAAAATATATGGTTCCATTTTCTATACGTTTTAATTTCTGGGGCGAAAAGACAACACTCTCTGGAGAGCTTGAATCTTCTCTGCCAGGAAGAAGTGGTGAATCGAAACCATGAACAGATGTTATGATTTTTGGATGAAATTGTCTTAGAGAAGAACCTGATACTCTAGCAGGTGATTTCTGGAATGTAGAAGTGCGAGGTGATTCCACAATTTGAGAACGTACTTCGGATTCCAATGCTTTAGATACACGTCTTGGACTTTGGTTGACTTTTAAAGACGACGGTGATGGGAATTGGGCTGATTGAGCTGTAACTTTTGTCATAAACTTTCTAATTGCCGTACTCCGATAAACATTTGATTCTGAAGAACCCACATTCATCTCCATTGCCAAAGGTATATGGGAACCAGAATAATTGGGCTCAAGAGCTTTCGAAGAGGCTCTGCCTCTCCGGGGTGGTACCTCTGATCGCTGTGAAACATCATCATTAATCATTGGTGATGTGATCTTCACTTCAAGATCAACTGCTTTGGCTTTAACAGGCCGTTGCAGGTCTCTAAGATTAGCTTTGCATGTCTGAACTCTTGAAATTGGCGACTCATTTTCGTACTTTACGCCTCTATATTCAGGAGCTCTTTCTCCTTCGGAATATTTCGTGTCTGTTTCTTGTTTAATATCTGATTTAACTTTCATCCCCAAAAACTTTGGCTCTGGTTCAGAACTGCATTCAGACCTTCTAGATACGGTTTCTTGGTATTCATTGTCCTTAATTTCTTCTTTGATATGATTATGATCCTTGATTTCATGCTCACCTCCATTTGGTGAATCTTGATTCCCAGGTGTGTTCTTGGTTGTATTTGATTGCACTTCATAATCAATGGATTCTTCTTTGATCTCTTGTTTTAAAGGAGAAAGGAAATGGATCTTAGAAGAACATAATGGTACTTCTTGAAAACCTGAATCATTATCTAGTGGTTCCACTTTGATCACCATAGATGCAGGATCACAACTACCTGAGGCTGAAGTAGTCTGAATAACTCTTTCTGGAGTTTGTGATTTTTGGCCACCACTACCTGAGGCTGAAGTAGTCTGAATAACTCTTTCTGGAGTTTGTGATTTTTGGCCAAGTTCAATCGCACAATGACCTCTAGCCTTTTTTCTCTTCAATGTTGATGAAGCTCTAGTTTCTCTGCTGGTAGATGGTTGTGGATCTGGTTTTGAACTTTTTTGAACAAGCGATGAATAAATGGTTTCAAACTCAGAACTGTTCTGGTCAGTTTGTAATGATTGTTTTGATGTTGTGTTGGTATTGATAAGATGACAAGCACTTTGGTGGATTGGCGACGAGGATGAACACAATGGTGTCTGAATACTTGTTGAATGATTTGACATTTTCTGTTGATGATACTCGTCCCTCATATCGCGTTTGTTTGAACACAAAGAGTGGCTTTGTTGATTGATTCTTTTAGAAGAATCTTCAGTAGAATCTAGCCACTCTGTTGAACACAAAGGGGAAATTAGTTCATTTCTAGTCGAATTAGATGGTGATGACAAACGTTTCTTTGGCATCAACTTAGATGACGACGGTTTAACATAACCTGTCATTGGGGTTGAAGTTAATACTCTCTCTGTTGAATCATTACAGGACTTAACGACCCCATGATTTAGTAGCGAAAGTGTTCCCTGAATTCTGTTTCCTTCAATTCTGTTTCCTTCTATCAATTCCGCAACTGGTTCATCTGAACTTTCACCTTTTTCAATGACGGTAACATCGTGAGCAGTTTCTCCATCTATAGTCACATTTGGGGAGACTGATTTGATACTGGAAACTTCTCTGACTGGCAAAATATTGATATGTTTTGTATGATTCGATGGTAAACTACATCTGGTCACCATCTCAACATGGTCGTGTCCTGGATCTTCATCTGATATGTTAATGAGCTCAGTGCTTTGTGGATCAGTTGCCTGAGATGTGGGTTCCAACTCAATTATATCTTTTGATTCAAATGAATTCATTTGTACCCTGGGATTTTTAGTGCAATTCGAACCACAATCGTGTTTTGTTACTGTTACTCCAGTTTCACTATTTTGAGACACAACATTTTCAAACTCAGTTGAGATGGCTTGATCAATCTGAGCATGTCTATTAACTGGAGAAACTGTTAAAGCTGGTGTTGGAACTCTTGGATTAAGAGACTTCTGTAGTCTATAATCTATGTGATTTCTGCGACTAGACAATCTTCTTATCTTTCTGGGTGAAGCAGCAGTCAGGTCTCCTTCGGAACTACTTGGTCTCTCAGTGGAGAGTGCATAGACTTCAGCAGTTGGACTGACTGGTGGGTTTTGATCTGATATATGATAAGGACTCTGAGATCCGCTTTGAAGGTTATTTAGAGATCCAGCATCGGATAAGGTATGAAGATTGTGTTGCCTTTGCTTATTTTGTAAATCTGTGAAGATTCTGACAGGACTTGTTGCACTAAGTTCTTCCTCTTGCACAGTATTTCTCCTTAAATTCATATTGCTTCTCGCAGTTCTGTTTCTTCTCGAATGATGATCATTGTAAGCACTGTTCCACTGATTTGAATTTCTTTGACCATGAACACTTGATGCGTTATCAATTGAGCTTCTAGCTTGTCTTTGACTTGGCATCTCAATTAGTGGAGGTACAGCTGAAACTTGTGGAACAACAGACACGCGACCCTGTTTAGATTTAGAGAAAGGACAGACAACTGCTATATTATGACAAGATTCACTGGTGGTACCAAGTCGAAGTAAATCATAAGAAGTAGGGTTTTGTCGTTTGATATCTGGTGATATTTTGGGTCTTTCTGTGTAGTTCTCTGTTTTTAATACAAACATTGAATCTTTACTACCTGAAAGTATAAATAAGTAAAAGTAAAATTTGACACAACTGGAGCTGAAAAGTCTAATTTTACTGATTTAATTATCCAAAAATATAGATGAAATAAATTGTCCACCATCTTGATTAAATTCACAAAAGGAGGTATCCGGATGAAGATCATATTAAATTACCTTACATCCTTCATAGACATAGGGTGGATATTATCATGTCAGTGTATTACATAGTCTACATCTACTGACTGCTTGTAGATAAAATCATTTTAAAGGGCTTCAGTTTAGGTTATTTAGCCTAAGTTATGTATATTAGGTACACTAATGACTTCTATTGCATCATACCTATTTTCAATATGTCTTTACTATTTCCTTATAACTCCAGAAAGGACTTGACTAGTTTATAACATAATTGTTTAATACATGTATATCCCATGCTGATAGAGACATCAAAAGTCTGGGGATGTTTCTAAGAATAACAGATAACTCAGTAGTCAAATACTGAATGAAAATAGAAACTATAATGGTCCCAAATGCATGAGGTCTTGAAAATACACATTATTGAGCAGGTGGCCATGAAATATTTCATCATTATATTATTGTAATTGACCCATTCTCACCTTGTGACTTGAGGACAACCCCCATGTTAAATTCTGGAGCTAAGAAAGGATGTTGTAAAGCTGATAATGGTGTTAATCTTTCATCAGGGTTTAGTTTCAGTAGACCAGACAAAAAATTAGCAAATGTATAATCATAACAATCTGTTAATTGGTTCAGGATCTCTAGGGTTGCTGAAATGAAATATATGTGACTCTCAAGAAAGAATGAAATAAATGTCTAATCATTATATAAAAAGAATAAAATAATATAACTGCATATGGATAGGATCATGTTAAAAAAATTATCTTTGAAATATGTCTTGTGTGGTTACTTAGAGAGTAGAGTAGAGCTCCCTGCACATAACATTGCTGTATCTGTACAACTTTCACATGTACTGAGTGAGACAAATTCTCTATAGATAATGATTTATCCATAATGATGCAAGTATACAATTTGATAAAGATAAACTCACCATCTTTTATAGTATGTTTTGATGTGTACTGACTTAATTCTTTATAGAATTTACCACGCTGAAATATTTCTGTTGGAAGAGGACCCAAGATATCAACTATCTGAAATGAATTAAATAAGACTGTCCAGATAATCCTACAGACACACAGCAATAATAATAAAGCTAGAAATTTTAGAGCAGAACTGGAAACTTATTTAAGCTATAGTATAGAATGGTTTTAAACAATAATTTTTTTTAATTAAATTCAACTTAACCAGTAAAGAATACTTTCTTAAATCATAAACTGAAAAGTGGCAATAGTAAAAGGTTTCAATATGCACATATTTTCTTGTATCTTAGATTTCAGGGAATGGTGTGTGTATGCGATATATACAGGAGTGATTCTAATATTTTATGTAGAAAATCCATCAAAAGTGTTACCTCGATAATAAGTTCTGTTTTATTTTCACCAAGAAATAATGGTGTACCTAGAAATAGCTCTACTATAATGCATCCTAGAGACCACATATCAACCTCACAACCAAATGGTATACCAAACATTACCTACAAATATAATGTAATTGTGGTCTGTAATCCCAAATTTTATCCCTCTCTGGATTGATTCAATGATTTTAAGATTCAAAGAACTTCAGCGCCAAAATAATTCTCAAGCAAAATCTTTTCACCAGAGCACTGGATATTGTCAAAGTAAAAGATATGTTGCTTTCCTTGAATTGAGTTATTCGTTCTGAAGTCAATAGCTTCTCCTTAACGAAATTTATGTGTGGTCTGTAGCCACATCAAAAATTTCAAGAATATGAAAAAGAGTTACTTCCCTTTAACTACATGACTGAAAAGTTTACGAATCTTTTGAATAGCTAACAATATACAGTAATCAAGTAAAAATTACCTCCGGTGCCCGATATAATAGAGTTTGCAGTTCGAATTTTTCATAATACATAGAAACTTCTTGATGTACATGATGTATAGCATTACCGAAATCTATAACTCTTATAGAATCTATATCATTTTCTGTAAATAGAAACAGTCAACATAATACAATACACAGTCATATTCTAGAGCTGACAGGGCTTGTAAATTGTTTTTAACTTTCTAATAACCAATTATTCTTCTTGGGTAACTCATACCAAAAATACAACATTATTAATGATTGAATGGCTTCAAGTGAACTTAAAGAGCAGGAATTAAAGAAAATAACACAAAACAAGGAAGTAAAAACGCACTGTCTTTAAGTAGAATATTTTCAGGTTTAAGATCAGCATGTATCATATTCTGTTGTTGTAGAAAACTCAATACTTGTAATAATTTTACCGTTAATTTACGAATATAGTTTAATTTCTGAAAAAAATAAATGTTGTAATAAAACCAATTTTAAATAGTCTGACACCACAATATTATCTATAACCATTATAAATTGTGAGAGTTGACTCCATTCTTCAAAATGCAAAGGAGCAGCTGTGACTCAGTGAGTTAGATGATTGCTCACTAACCCTAAGGTCAACTACTAGCATAGGTCGACATACAACTTGAGATTTTTCAACCTGATTTCGATTCTACAGTTCGGAGGGGCTGACTTGGAAAAAGCATGTTGTCAGATATAATAATAAATCTAGATCCTGTGTTCTTCTTCTTGCAAAATTTCTCTCATTGCACACTATATTAGACCAATCAGGTACAGAAAAGTATGACGTAAAAACTCATTCATATCAATTCAATTCAAAGTGCAAAACAGTCACACAAACATCTGTGAGTAGACATACCTGTGTAACATCTGTAGTCTGTGTTAAACATGATAACTCTGTTATTGGTTCAGGATGTAAAGATTCAAACACCATACAATAATGTTCTTTATGTTTAAATGTTGCCTACAATAGCATAGTCATAGTGTATATACCTGTAATACATGGCTCACTAACTAAATCAATTGATTTCCATCTGAATCTACCAGAATGCATACAAGAGACTGTGTATTCTGATTAGCACTTTCAGTATTAGTGGTGTTAGATATAATATTCTGGTAGTGGGTGCTGCCTTTCTGTAACACATTGCATGGTTGGTAAATATGAAATTTTGAACAGGCTTAAACATAGTGAAACCACGGTATTAGTAATCACATCAATTGTTGTTAGTTAACTTCAGAAAACTAGAGTTACCTCCCTTATCACAACAGGTTGGGAATACTTCCACTGTTATGGAACAGAAATAATTTTACAGTATATTATATATTCTCTGTTGACTTCAGATGTTTTTAAAATTCATTCTCTTAAGATTTATTCCAAATATGCACAAGCAAAGCTGTTTTCTATTTCATGAAGAGATCTAAATAACTCAAAACTTACCAACAGTCTAACAGTACGAGAAACATGATAAGGATCAGCTGTTTTTAGCGTTGATAATAAATGTGCTTCTTGTATTCCTATCCCATAATACTTGACATGTAAAACCTTAATTGTGACTTCAGTTTGACTATATAAGTCCTGAAAATGAACCAAAAATTTCAATCACCCTCAGGTTATAGCATGGATATAAAGATTATTAAGTTTCTTTGAGAAATGCTGTCTTCAAAGAAAATAATGTCTTTAAAATCCTCTGTATTATAGTATGAATAGTAGTGTACATAATAAAGCTCTTATCTGCCTGTAAGATGTATGAAGAAGATCCTTCTTTGCTTAAGTAACGAAGGGGTCCAGATTGAGATGAGACTTGCGGATTTAATAACCCTGTTGTCAGTTATGAAAAGTAGAAAGGGTAAGCATGAAAAGAAGTCATTGTCATTCAGATTTGACAATAAACCAAGGCCTTATGCGCTAATGGCTGTGCATGAACCATGTTAAAGATGGAAATCTAACAGTAGTGTGCTACTGTTGTTTTAGTAAATCATAGCACACAGTAAGATTTAATCAGCTTGCAGCCTGTGAAGTGAAAACAGTTGTCATGGCATGTTATTTCCATGCAGACTACAATCTAACTTACTGCCTACAGTAATACTAACCTCAGCTCTATACTACTAATTATAACATGTAGACTACCCTTGATAGTAGAAAGCACTGTTTAACAAATACGTAGAAGTATAAGACTAACCTGAGCTTTAAGAATAATGCCAGACTGTCCCTGTTTACTAAGTGTCTGTAATATTTTATATCTTCTGGCCAATATTTCACCTGGACAGGGATGATATTTACCTTTCTCATCTGTTTTACCTGAAATTTCCAACATATCATAATAAGCATTATTCTTATTTCGAAATTCTGAAGAAAAAGTAACATAGTACATAGCATACAAATAAAAAAAAAACACTTATTTTGAAAGAATAATGCACCAATACTGTTGATAATTTGCAACTAAAATTGCTTAGTTATCAATATTTCTGTCTATATAGTTCTACTTGTCCAACTTCAGTAGTGACTCAGGCTGAATTATATAGGTCAGTTGTCTGAAGATCGCATAGCGTGAAACTCTGAGTAACAACAATATGTTTTGTTAGGTTCTGTTTTAATATATCTATATCTAATATTATCTATTTTTGTTGTTAATGGGTACTCACCTCTGCCATGTTTAGTACGACCATAACGAGAGTTTTTATATAAATAATTTAATCCAACTGTAAGTGATGATAAACATTGATAATTGACGGGCTCTAGATGGATTAAATCATTACTAGATCTGTAAACAAAATAACGATATCAAAATATCTTAAAATTATTGGTGAGTAGAGGCAAACTCAAAGAGAAAATTACAAAAAAAAGGATTGACCAATATCAGCACCTTCAGAACCCATATCTTAATAGTTTGTATTCATAATGTATTATTTAATATCTAAGCAGCTTACTTTTCAAAACATACAAAAAAACTGATATTATCAATTTATACTTGAGATCATGGCAAAACATATCTTTGTTTCCTACTTTCTGCAAAGCAAAAATGTAGACACCATTCATATGGTACCCTAATAATAGGTGTAAATTTTTATGCATCATATAAGTTTGTAATGCAATCTGAGAGGTGTCAACATAAACACTCAGATGTTAATTTATCTATAGACTAAGAAAGTCAGTTGGAACCTAATTTCAAAAGTTTGATTTTATTTTTTTGACGACAGCATTGACAACATTAGAATTGGATCTACTTATAATTTAATAGATCTTATCTACATAACAAGAACAATGTGTGAGAATGTAATTCAATAAAAGGTGGAATAGTTCAAGTCAACAGTGTGTTACTCTGTTTACGGAAAGCTTTAATTGGGTTTACCATCGTCACAAAGTCATTAACCATATCATTGGTCAGCAGATATTAACTATAAAAGGAAATATGAAGCAGCAGTAGCAGTGTCTCCAATCCAACTACCAACTACTACGACTACCAACAACTACCTAGTTTGCGATATCAGCATCCGCTGGAAGCGAACGTTAACTTGTCATCTACCAACCAACCAAGCAGTAGCAGTGTCTGTGAAAGTTCTTGTTGATGCTTTTACACCTCTATATAATGATCAAACTAAGCCTACCCTTGTTGGTAAGTGATTAATCAAAAGACATTACAAAAGTTTTAGAATGACATGGCAGTTTCCTGGCTTTGGTAAATTAATCAATCGGCGCAAGATCCATAAGCTTACAAGCAAGGAAAGAAAACCCATCAAAACAGACGTCGGACGGGCTATTTTTAGCACAAACTGTCTGAGAACACAACGTGTTATTGTTGACATAGACTCAAATAATCAACGGATCAGGCGATTTCTGGGTGAAAATACACGACCATGACCTAATAATATCAAATCAATTCAATGCTTAGCAACTCTACACACCTTATTGCTGTGCTGAATGCGCTTGTGCGCGGCATTTTTCATTCCCAAAGCCTCAGCAACAGTAAATTCATTCCGCGTGCTGAGATACACAACTCCACTACGTCGGCCATCTTGCTATCTACCACAAGCAGAGATGTCATATGTAAATTGATCACGTGATAGGTGAAAGGTTATGTTATTGCTCGCGATATAAACAAAACCTCGTGCACTGTCAAACTATTTCATTTATGATTCATTGTAAGAAGAATGAACGACAAAGTTAAGCTTATCGCTTTAGAAATAACAGAAAGTGTATTTTGTTTAATGGTGTACAGTTAGATTGGATGATAACAGTGTATGGTGTGATGCTTGCCGTATAGAACGAGATAAGTGTAGCGCGAAATATTACGTGTGGTATGGAATCGCTGCATGTTGAGGCACGTTCAATATTACATAGATTTTGATTGGTTATTGAAAGTCATTAGTGATATAATGATGTCATGTTACTAAACCCAGGCTAGCAGGACATTCCTAATTCAACAGATTCCGCGAAAGGATTTAAAAAAAAACAATAAGGTAAGCGTCATTTTATTTTTATGAGCAAGTTTTGTTTTTGCCAGTGAATTTTGACAGCTTATGTCATTGATTATGCAGAGCTTGTCACCGAGGTCAAAGTTTTGTGTATTATGCAATCCATTCAAAACAATAACAAGACATTGTTTGTGTTTTTGAATTAGAAATCATTTGAGTGGTCCAAAGTTTTCATTCCGTGGGTGTTGTCAACGCCTTTAATTAGTCATCGACTGTTTGAGAAACATGTATATCATAAGATGGCTGAATACTTTTCAACTGTTGCAAAACTTCTATAAGTTTTTCTTGCTAATACATGTATAAAGTTTTTAATTATCAACTTTAAATTAAAATATTTAGTTTTGATTTCCCTGATAAAGTTGTCACGTGATGCTTTCAAGTAGATTACGATATTAAGTTACTAATATTAACTCGTAAACACTCCAAATTTTCGTGATTTTTTTTACAAGTGTCAAATTTTGGAAATTGAGCGTCACTTGTGTTTTTTGTGTTTTGGGGAATCATCTTTAAAAAAAAGGGGTAAATAGCTTGTGTTTTCTATTGAATTGATAATAATTGAAAGAAGATGACAAATTTTGATTAAAATTTAAAATCACCCCACATACTTAGCGAATTCACGATAATTTCTGTGGTTGCCACCACGTGTAAGACGTCTTGAGATTTATTTTGATTGGTTATGATTCTGATTGGCACGAAATCTACTTCCTATTATTAGTTTGATTGATATAACTTGATTGATGCCTCGTGCTCTTTAGAACTTCATTTACATTTGAGTGGTAAAGTATGCATGTAGACTTTGATATTTATTTATTTTATTTTTTTTAAAAAACACTTTAAATTATTTAATTTTTTTAATGCAATGATTTTAAGTTTAAACAGTTTTCTTTTCAGATTACAGATTAAAAGAATTTTAACTTTAATGTGTGGAGTGAAAAATGGATACAAATAAAAAACAAATGGAAGATAAAGTACGTCAAGTTCGGACATGTTTAACGTCAAGTGACGACAAACGTAGGAAAAACGCTCCGAAGGATTCCTCCTTCTTGGGGAATTCCCCTTTGAGTGGAGTCCCACATGACAGGAATTCCCCAGTAGCCACTAGAAACAGGGATTCTGGTTATGTTACTGATAATTCACCAGCCACCTTCTCGCCTTATTCACATTTTACATTTGATCTGCCTCCCCAGGAGGAACATGGTGCTGTAGGAGGTGTCCCCTCACCCCAGGGTTTAGAAGATTCTGGAAGTGATATCATGGATAATTTCGAAACCGGAGTATTTTTTGATATTGAAGAAGAGGGGGACGATTCGGCTTTTTTGGATGAAGTGGATGGAATAAGTGATAACGAAGGTGATACAAGTGGTGAAACTTATCGAAACGTTGCAACTCTTCAAAGACAGGTTTCTCAACCTATGGCAGTGCCTCTATCTCCTCCTATAGCCGATATAGCATTACGGAATGGTGTTCAAGCCCCGTTCACACTACCTGGACGCTATTATTCCAGAGTGGCTAGTGTAGCCACACAGACTCCTCACGTACTTTCCCAGATGCTACATCACGTTATTTCAGAGCCAGCTTTTGTTACTCAATCCAGAGGTAAGTCTCGTTTAATTTTGATAAATTTTATTGTCATTAGTCACATTTCTGATTTTAAATATTTCCGCCACATGAAACTCACCAGTGATTTCAAAACGGAAACGCATATATTTTGTTGTGAATATAATGTTCTCTCTTCACATGGTTATTCAGATACTTGTTGTATACTTTATGTGTTGTGATTAAAAAATCGCGCGAAATTAAGGGAACAGCTTTGCGAACGTTATTGTGTCAAGGTCTCCTTTCAAAAAGAGACAATTGTATTTAAATAGTGTCAAGACTCAAGGCAATGATTTCAATAACAGAGTCAGTAAACTATCAGATAACACGATAACGTTTACAAATAACTGTAGTTTCTAGTCAAGGGACGCTACTCCGCTACAGTCATTCTGTTGTCTGTAGTCACTGTAATATAACTTTTTAACGTCCTATCCCAGCATATTTTCTCTGTGCAAAATGCCATGCTTTTATAATAAAATAAGGTTCGATTGTCATTTACATTGCTTATCATCTAAGAATATGAAATATTCATGAATTTAGTAATTAAAAACATAACAACAACGTAATTAATGTCGGACATACTGGAGGCGATAAAAATATTTAGCTGAAATTGGCTTGTGATCTATAAACGATAGATTAAGACAGACTGTCATATTATTATAACTTATGAATATGAAATCTAGATACTCGATAATATCAATGATTATATTACGACTTGGGTGTAATTTAAACCATTAACTATAATAAAAGATTAGAAAAAGATAATGAATTGGCGGCTTCCATCAGAATTATTTTCTCTCTCTCTCTCTCTCTCGTCTCCCCATCTGTTGGTCTATGTTGATATTCTGTATTATTATGTTATTAGGTCGAGGTTAACTGTTTAAATGTAATGTCAATACGTCCTGGTTTCTAAAGGACGAGGTGAAAATTCTGACATAGTGCCATAGATATAGCTTCTAACAGTGACACATGGCTAAATATTACAATGATGATGTAAATAAAAACTTTTAATATTGGCATATATAGTTATATAGCTGTATGTACAGTATAAATAAAAAGGCACCAAAAAACGTACGTTATTGGACTCCTCTAGCCAAGTTGAAAATCTTAGTTGCAGAATGGCGGTGGCGATGAGTGTTTAAAAACGGTTAAATAATTGCCCTGTGTAGAAAGCAAAGCCGTATGATAACCGATTTACAAGATAAAGATAACACATATGCACCTCTTTTTTTATTTTATAAATTTGCACCTCTTTTTTTATTTTATAAATTTTTAAAAAATATTCACTTCAATATTACATTAGGTCCACTGTTATCGTCATGATAAGTGAGGCTGGTTCTTCCACCGATTTGTTGAATTGGCCGCCTAACAACCTAATAGCTACTTTTTAAATATGCAATTCTATTCGTAAGCGAATTAACAATAAATCCAACCATTAAAAATGAATATATCTATAGGCAATTGAATAGGTTTAAAATAACAAAATTACATTTGATAGTTCAATCACCTCCTAAATATCAAGTTAACGTAATGAACATAATAATTGTATACTTTTAATATCTTGGCATTGTTCCATGAAAAAATACAGTACATTAACATTGGCATGCTTTATTACATTAGAAAATAATCATACTTAAAATTTAATACCGATGGATATTAATAAGCCTACTTACTGCCATGTTATTAAAATATCTTATTTCTAATTGTCGTGAAATTAAATATTCAGAATCAGTGGGGCAGAAAGCAAATTTCTATTAGTTTGAATTGTAGTAAATCATTCAAGATTGCATATTGTGTGTAGAAAATGAGATCTAGTTCTGTCGACAGATTCTTGTAATTATCGTGCTCTTGATCAATGTAAAATCTGTGCCGATTTATCCTGAAGAGTAGTGAGGTTTATTCTTGTTTTCTTGTTAACGTACCTCAAGCTCTTCAAGGAGATATATTTCCTAGAAGAAAGTCTGAGGAGATTCTGACTCTATCGGGTCTCAGGTGATGGACCTCACACACACGTGTAAAGATATCAAAGATAATTAACATCCTCGACATGTCATAGTATTGAATTAATAATTCATCTTGACAACCACTAGTTATACTATAACTCACCTTTCATTATCTTTAACATTTTAATCTCATTAGATTGACAGTTTTGTTTACACGTGCATATCGACCGTGCATCTTAATCAAATAAGTATTCAAACCAATCTGTATTGCAGAACAAATCTTAGTTTACAAATGACAGGATATTTATAATAAACGGGCAGTCATGCACGTGTGTAGATCCGTTACACGTGCGAACATGAAATCGAAATACAATGCATACAGTGCGACAAGAGATAGCATACAGAAAGATGTATTTATGTATAAATTAATGAACGTGCACGATTTGTAAACTATAATGTTTAAGAATCAATCAGGTTAATTAAAGCGACTGTATGACATCAATTTAATGTGTATAGCGCCGGCGACGATGGCGGGTCTGTAACAGGTTGTTCGAATATAGAAGTGAGTATACATGCAATTAACTTCACTAATCGGTATATAAATAATACATTGATCTTATTGACTCTAATCTGAAGATGTGTTTTATTATGAACTCTAAAAGGATGGTTACAACTCGGGGTTATTCGGTACAAATTACTAATTGGATTTAAAAGGAAATTCATTGTTGCATATTATATTTTTCTATATCCGATCTAAGCCGCCTTCAACAAGGCTAACAGTAATGACGCGTCATATATGATTATCATGTCAAGGAATAGGATGAGTGAACACCTAGCGCCACCCCGCGACCGGGCTTATCATTTAAAGTTTCTACACTCTACATTTATATAAGGGTACTTAATAGTCGATCATTTCAAGTTTCAGTATCGATACTATATGTTTATTTTATCGTAAACGTCGTCCATCAAAATGTTTTATTTAAATTTGTCGTGTGTCGCAATTTACTTGTCATCGATTTGACCCCTCGTTTTTAGCTGCACCTGGAACTTTGCCAATACATGTAGGCTACCTTTTAATTTAACCATCCTGACTACCGACCTATTTTGCGTATTTGAAGGTCTATAATTTCCCTTTTTGTGTAAGATTAACAATCGGAAAGCATCTGGCGTTTTGGCGGGATAACGTAATGTACGACCCCGAGCGTAATAACGTGCGGCAGCCACGAGTAGTGTCCTCAATAATAACAGAGTAGCTGTTTCAATATTGGTTGACAGAGGTTTACATAAACTTTACATTAGTTTACATTAAGTTCTACAAATTGGCTCTTAACTGTATATTGTTTTCCTTTATTTGTGGTAATATTTTATCTGTCGGCCTTCGTCTAGACTGGTTTGAGATTGACTGAAGTCGCGTGTAACTTAAAGCGAGCACGATCTGTGCCCATGCCATACTTAGTTTACAAAATTTCTTGAAGAAAACCATTAGATCATCGCCTGGGCCACACAAGGGTTGGGCTCATTCAGCCTAATTGAACACGCGAATTAATAAGTACGTTAGAAGTAGCGTACATGAAGACCTACGGGAAGTACAAAACCCCGTTTGAAAATCAATATTAGATAAGCATAGTTATAGTTGTTCTTGTTGGGACCCCACAAGTGTATTTTCCATTTGTATTTGAGGCTATTACAAAACACCTATTCACAAAATATATATTACTCTACCCAAGAGGCATTCGTGGATAAGTTCTAACAAAAAAAATTTTCTTTTATGTAATCTAGAAAATACGTTAAAGAAACTCAGAAAACACACTTGAAAATGACACAAGTTAATTTGACTTATATTATGCAACAGATTATCTTACGTCAGCCTCGAAAATACTCTTGATATTAGTAAACATTACACAGCCTTGTGGGATTTGTTATTATTCTATTTATATCTTTTGTCATCTGATTGGATAACAAAATCACGCTATGAAATCTAAGCCATTTGTGAGCAGACGATACGATTTAATTTCACAAATTATTTTAACTTGGTGCACCTGTTGCAGTTTAAACGATTAAATCGTTCATAATTATTTTCACAACTACTATACCATTGAACCCACTGCCTCGACAATTCCTGTCACGAATTAACAGTGGGCATGTAGGCTTAGGGGATGGAATAAAAAAACATTGTTGTTTATTAGCCTATATAGTTTTTACTCGATAACTTGATCTCTTCATGGATAGTTTGGCCTTCGTTTTGTGATAAATTTTCGTAATGAAATTTAAAGAAAAAAAAAATGGAGCGGCCATGCATTAAGTTTGTCTAATGCTACATAATTATTTATGTCAGCTTACATTTGATTAGGCCCTAGACTACAGACTATTGACCTGCTGAGGACAAGTCTCGAACATCCTATATAACTTATAATTATCTGTTATGCAAATAAGTCTGGTAGATAGGAACTAATATCGGTGGACACAATTTGATTGACATCTCATTGACATATTAACCTATATATTATTATATATTATTAACCCAATGTCAATATCTTTAAAATTTTATCTTGAATTTTCACTAATATCTGAAATAAACATTACCCATTTAAATTGCGTTGTTTATAACGTGCCCGATTTAGGTCCACTATTTCCATATCTAAACAAATATGTTTTTTGGGGAAATTTAGGTTGTATCATTGCGGTTAAGCAATGTTACGGAAGCACAGGCACGGGCTTTGTTGGGGTGTTTTTGAAAAAAATGATTTTTCCCAGTTGGTTATTTATGTCTATGGTGTTTCGATGAAAGTAAAGAAGAAACACTGCAAAATATTTTAACTGGGATTCGTCAATGTAAATATAGAAAAAAGTTGATTAAATGTTCTGAAATTCATGAAAATGACAAATGTCTGTATTCTTCTAGACAATGTTTTTTTGATGTTGGAATTACAGTAGGGCCCAATGATTATCGACTTGAGCTAATTTGATATCTATAAAATAAATCATATTGTTAATATCTTTATAATGTTAGCCAATAATTACACTCTTGAGACAAGGAGGTGCAAAGATTTGAATCTA